CCTGGAGATCATCATATTAAGTGAAGTAAGCTAGAAAGAGAAAGAAAAATAGACCATATTATATCACTTACATGTGGAATCTTAAAAAAAAGACACAAATGAACTTATTTACCAAACAAAAATGGACTCACAGACAGAAAACAAACTTATGGTTACCAAAGGGGAAAAGTAAGGAAATGGACACATAAAGAGTTTGAGATTAGCAGATACAAACTACTACATATAAAATAGATAAACAACAAGGTCTTATTGTGTAGCACAGGGAACTATATTTAATATCTTGTTATAGCCTATAATGAAAATCCGAATCACTATGCTATACACCAAAAATTAACACAATGTTGTAAACTGACTATAGTTCAATTTTTTTTAATTGTCACCTACAGGTGGAAAAAAGAAAATACATCTGGATTTACCTTTTAAATAATTTAGTATTTTTAGCACTTATTGAGATAATCTATTACATGTCAGAAACACTATACTTCATCATGCATTTTTTCTTACATCTTTTTCAAAAAAAACTTTTATTGATAGCTATTATGTTGTGTGTGTCTATGTGTGTAATGGATTGTAATATAAAATATATTTCTTATCATGAGTGGTCATGGTAAAAAAAAATTTGACATCATTGTGACAATATAATTGCAAATCTAGGTCATATCTTTTTATCCAAAGGCAAATATTTCAAATCTTTTAATTCTCATTATTTTGCTACTTAGGGGTCTTGAAGATGGTAATCGTTTCTTGAGGCAGGGTTGCTTGACCTATCTTGATAGCACAAATCAAGTATCAGTTGGGCTAGGTTCATTTTCTCTTACCTGGTAGAGCTCCAGGAATTCATTGACTTCCGTGATTAAATGTGTTGGAAGTAAATCTCAGAGTTTGGCTGCATGTTAGTCATGGGTGCTAATGCCAGGATCTTAATAAGCTGATGAGTGAGAAGTCGTACCAGAGAGGGGAGGTGTTAACAGTCTTCCTAGTGCTCCCAGACTACACAGCAATCTGGGGATATAATTGTCTCTCCCAGGAGGAAAGAGAAAGAAGTCAAAGAGTATTAGATTCAAATAAAACAACATACTGCAGAAACCGGTTAACTGAATCAGTATAAAATTTGTCTTTTTTTTTCTTTTATATAAATCCAACTTTGAGGATGCAATTTTCTTTGCCCTTTTTAAATGGAATGCAGCAGTTCACATTCTCAGTTGATTAAGATAGTATTCAGTATTTAAACTAAAAGAAGCCAACATTAAGGATTTTATTAATTTTCAAAAATGATAAAGCCATGCTAAGTCAACAAATACCAAGATCATTTTTGTTTGATTTCCTTGAAGCAGTTTTAAAATTTATAACATTTCCAAGATCACTTGCAGAAATAAAATAGAAACACTTCAGACTCCCAGATGGATAGATAGATAGGTAGATAGATAGACAGATTGATAGATAGATGCAAATATATAGATATATATAGATATAAAATGGAACAGGTATATAAATATACATAAATAGTTTACCCATCCATGTATACACATATCACAGAACATGGTAGCTGGAAAATAATCTCATCAAGCTTTGAAAAGAAATTAATACCATTTTTATTCAATCAGTGAAAAATTACAAATGTGAGAAATTTGCAAATGTTCTTTGGAAGGAACAGCTTTCAAAATCTGAATATATTTTAGGAAGAACTTGATAGAGGAAAAAAAAATTCAGAATTTCCACCTGCCGGGGTGGAATCCTACATCTTTGGAATCTTATACCTCTTGGTAAAAGTGAAAATAGGTTCAAATTTCTGTCAATGCTTAGAAATGGTTATATCATTTCAATTGGAAATTCCAATTTAGAAATATAGTCTAAGAAAACAATGTGATAACTTCAAAAAGAATGTAAGTAAAATTAGAATTTCTTTAAATTTCCATAAGAGTGGAGAAAATTGGAACTTAAATTGAATAAATGCAATTCAATACTTACAACATGCCTATTAAATTTTTAAAAATACAAGCTTTAAAAATAAGAGTATTATTACTAATATGTAAATGTTAGTATATCTTGTGAACTAAAAACAGGTTATAAAATTATATGTTTCTATATAGACAAGCACTATATAAGTAATATTTTATATATTTACACATATATACATATATCATAATGTGTTTATATTTATATATTCATGTGTATGGTATACATAGAAAATATTTAGAAATTTATATCATAAA